AAGTTTCTGGATTAATTCCATCATTTAGTAATCTGGCTGGTGTAAGCTTTGGAGTCCATATCTATAAGAAAAAAATAATGTTCTTAAAATTATCTTAATTTTAGAATCTTCACTTCCATTGCACAAATGAATCTTTATTAAGTGAATGAATGTTATTTTTAAATGAGAGAAAAAAAAAGGTTGAGGAAATCATATTTTTATTTTCAAATATAGAATCCAGATTAAATATGTAAGAATATCTGTTTAAAACATGCATTATTAAGTACCTGCTTTGAAAGATATGTAAAACTTCCTAAGACAGAAATCAATGAGATCCAGTGTCTGACCATTCTCTTCCCATTGTTGGCTATGTTTACACACTGGCATAAAGACTCTGGCATTCTGGGGCAGAGCAAGTCAGTGATGTGCAGAAAACATGAAGTCACTTTTTCTTTTACGGACATTGCCAAATTTATTTCAGAAACTTATATGCTGCACAGCACTAGTCTTTCTTCGTTTCTTACAAAGTGGTTTTTACAAAAAGGGAAAACATTACTCATAAGCAACTACAGAGGAACTATAAAACAAGCTCACTAGATTAAAACCATTAAATATTTACTTTATTTAGAAGTGCATGACTATATGTTATGTGTCTTCTTTATGGCTCACTCTTGCATGGAACAAATTTCAGATACAACAGTTCCCTTAATAATATTTCCAACCCTTTTATAAAAATGTACAGATATATTTTTTAGCTGAATGTACAAATGACATAAGTCACCAAGTTACTATTAGCAAAGCATGCGATTCTTAAATAGTTTTTTTTTTTGGTTTTAAAAGAATGGGTTTAAAACAACTTTCAAAGTGATACAAACCCTTACATGTCTAAATACTGGCATTATAGTTTCCATGTTTCAAATTTACAAACTCTAAGGATCTCTTTATTTATTACCTGGGATCTGATTCCTTTCCCACACCTGCTTGTTCACAAATTGTCTAACGTTATTTAAACAGAATTATCTCTTTCAAGCCACATACTGAATCCAACTATCTCTTTTATCTCCAAATGTGATGTCACCTAACAGAGGATCTACTTTAACCCACGTGTTGCATCTAAAAATTATGTATTTATCATGAGTTCTAAGAGACCAAAATATTGCTGAATGGCTTATTTCCTTGAATCTATTACTGGCATTCTAGAGCTGTCTGGTGTTTGCCTTTATGTCCCATCTTCTAGAAAGAACGAAATTATAGCTTTCAAAAGAGCCAATTTTTTATTATACCAACTGCAGCTGGCATTTTTCGTAATACAGGATACAACACTTTGCCAGCCAAATTAATGCATTCTGAGCAGGGTGAGAAAGGGTCTAACCAGGGATACCAATGGGAAAGAAACCGGGCTTTAACGAATTCTTCATACAAGGCTGGTGGAGAAACTGATTTGGGCTTATCTGAGTGACCTAGCCAGAAAAACCTCTCAAACAGTGCCCTGCTCTTATAACTTCACCAAGAAAGAACTATTTGAGAGAATTTTGCATGCAGATTTTTTTGGTTGCAATTCTAAAAAAAAAAAAAAAAAAAAAAAATTAAGTCTGTAACATACAAATCCTGCAATGACTTTATTGAAAACCAAATGCTCTGTTTAGATTAGTCAAAGCTGCTCTGGATCCCCAGATACTGTCCTCAGGTGAAGTGCCAATGCATTGACCTTCAGTGTAATGGAATTTCATGCTAGCTAAAACAACGCGTGACACTCGTGGTTGCCAACGGGAGTGCAAGCGCTGTTTTTCTTTTTTTTTTTCCTCTTCTCAGCAACTACAAGGCTATAGGAGATATTCCTTCACCTTTCTCACCACTGTTACTCTGTGCTTCTGCTACAGATAACAACAACAAAAAAACCATAAGCTGACCAGCCACACTATATCAATGACTGGAGAAGAAATAAGTCATTTTTTCAGGCAGCTAATCACTTTATATACATACGTTGCTAGCCAAGCTTTTTTTTTTTTTTTTTTTTTTTTGTCAAACTGTTTTGTTCTGCAAAACTGGATCTAGTGTCCTTGTTGTATGTTTTTTAGAGGATTGTTTCTAATGTAACTTTAAAACCTAATCACTTCACATTTCCAAAGTACCAGACCATAAAAATGGAATAAATTCTAACAGGCAAAATAACCTAACATGGAAAATAATTTCATGCTCTTAGAAGTGGGTGACCTTTACTAACCCGCATTGTTTCTTGAAGAATGATATTGACTTTAAGTGGGTATGACAACTATTTATTGATAGCTAAAATATCCAAACCAAATGCTATTTATTTCTCTTATTTTTAGAAGTTTATCATTTTAACTTTTTAAATAGTAATAGCAAGAAACACTTCTTTGAACTTTGCCAAGCTGTAATATTAATCTTTGTCCAAACGCTCTGAAAGAATTCACGTGCAGCAACTTGAAGGTTAGCATTTAGGAACGGAGCTCTGTCCTCATCTGGCTATAATTTTAGACATTCAAGAATGGGCACATATGTGCATGCAGACACACACACACACACACACACACACACACACACACTCATTTACTCACACATTTTCTGCAACTATTAAAAGTTAAATGGGGTGCCTGGGGGTCTCAGTCGGTTAAACATCCAATTTCAGCTCAGGTCCTGATCTTGCGGTTTGTAGGATGGAGCCCCACATTGGGCTCTGTGCTGACAGCTCAGAGCTCAGAGCCTGCTTCAGATTTTGCATCTCCCTCTCTCACTGCCCCTCTCCTGTTCATGGTCTGTCTGTCTGTCTCTCTCTCTCTCAAAAACAAACATTAAAATTTTTTACAAAGTTAAATCAAAACTGACCAGTGTAAACAGAGGAGAAAAGTTTCAATCCACAAGACTTGGTAAATACTGTAAAGGCTGTAAATGTCCTAACATATGCAAGATTTTATCAAATATATTATTCAAAATTATCATTCATAAATCATCTAATAATTGAATATGTGCATATTTCAGATTTAAAAAAGCTCACCCTTATTCTTCCCTATCCCAACCCAAAACAGTGTGCACGTACATGAGACTTACACCTTTATTTGCTTCATTAAAAAAAAAAAAGGCTGCAAACAGCAAAGCCATTGTTCTCCCATAACTTCTGAGGTGGCATGAAAACCACATTCCTGGGCATGGCATAATCAGAGTGTCTGACCCCCCAAACACCATTAAGTCAAATTCATTTACCCCCAGAGGGCTATACACTATTGTATCCTTTCCACTTTCTAGCCACCTACGAACAATGGATAGTAATTGCAACTGTCACGGGCAGTCAGTAGGAAAAGTAAGCCAGCCCTATTTTCCCAGTTTTCTGCCAAACCTATCCAAGCACCTAATAACCATGCCCCCCAACAGAAGAAAGGTCTACAGTTGCTTTTAAAATGCATCGGAAAACAGCTTTTTGAACAGAACACAGGACAATAACCAAACTTATGCTCTGAATGCGAAGCTTTAAAAAACTCAAAATTAAAGACGGAAACTTCTTTTGACTGAACCGCAGCTTCCTGAACCAAGCCCACAGGCAAGCCTGGAAGAATAGCTGAGCTGCTTTTCTCTAAGCTTATCATCACTGCTGTGGCTGCTTTTAAGTTCGACTTGTGAAGAAAACTAGGGAGGGAAAAATGTTTGTCCTCCAATGGAATGAGATCACAAGGCTTGGAACAGGCGGTCTTCTCTGCTATATGCTCAGTTATCACCTCGGTCAGAGGAGAATAAAGAACCTTGGAGAACACATTCTACGTCTCAGGTGTAAATGGGTTAAAAGCCAACATAATAATATAAAGGATCTGTGGCCTAGGAAAAGAAATTCCTCTGTTCTGTTTAAACTCTGTCTTCAAGCTCTTTAAGGCATATTAATTGCTATCTGTTTGAATTTGATTCCATGATAGATTTTGGTTACTGATTTTGTTGATTAGCACTCATTCATTCTCTCACCACCAAGTCATACTTGATCATAACCTGAATATATTTAAACTTCAAATACAATGGATAAGAAGTGAAACACTCAGTCAAACATTTTCTGGAAGTTTCAAAATGCTGAGATGCTAGTGTCCTGCCTTTCTGCGGGATGCTGCGAGGTCATAGAGCCATAAGAAAGACAATTGCCTTTTTCATTGGGAGAACACGTGCACATACATACATATGCAAAAAAGTTATTTATACACATATTTCTACATGTATATTAATATAAATCTGGTGATATTTAAATATATATTCAGCTGCTACAAAAAACCATATAGTGTAATATATAACTAAATATTTTAATATTGATGAATAAGTATTTTTTTCTCAAGATTAATCCTTTAGAACTCAGAATCAAGTGTGCTACTGGCAACAGACAGAAAACCATAGATTGCCTACCATGCTCTGAGAAAACACACTTTGAAATTAACTGAAATGATCATTTAACTATTTTTATATGGGAAATTAAGTCCTTTCCCACTGCTATTAGTAAAAGTTTATTAAAATATGAATATTCAGTATCATCTGAGGTTCATCTAGACTTTTTCTTAGTTGTGTTCAATGTCTGATTCAAATAAAAACAAACAAAAAATGTTGCTCTTGTTAGTACAATACAACCTTTTATTAAGCTTTCTCCATTCACCATGTCTGGTTTTAAATGTAAATTATGTACCTTCACACTTCTAACAGTAGAATATATACACTCATCTCATCATATGCAGTTTTTAACCCTGATATAAATACATTCCTACTGACAAGGTGAATCATTTAATTTTTTTTAATGATGAAAACCAAAGCCTTTTGAAGATACAGGGGTTTAGTCTGTTAAAATAGCATCCCATTTATCAATAAAGCACAAAGAGAAAGTCAGAGTCCTGACACGTCCACGTTCAAGCTAGGGAAAAGAAACACCAAAGACAGAATGCATGAGGCAGAAGAAGGAGCAGCACTTTTCACTGTTAATGTTTCTAAACATAAACTTCGTTTCAGTACATTTTGGATCAAAATAATTGTCAATATGTTACCTTTTATTTCACCAAAGTTCCCTGATCCCATTGCAAGAAGTTTGTCTTTCCAGTCCTTTGAGAGTAGCTTTTCAATACTGGGGGTTTCTAAGGAAAGGAAAAAAAAATGTAAGCAAATCAACATGACTGTCTTTACAATGCAGCTCATTAAAAGTCTATCTGCTAAAAATAAGGCCATCCCTATCCGGGCCCCAGTTCATAATGACTTCATCAACAAACTGATAACAGGGGGGGAAAAAAAGAATGTGTTTTGTCACCTGCTGTTTCAAAATCATTAGCTTTTTCCTCTTGCGGAACAAAGCCCTACTAATTCTTTATGACAATGGGTACATATAAACCTGCAGTTCATTGTTTTTCAATTTGGTGAACAAATTCCTGCTATAATAGATGCTTGTCAATTTCAGGGTGTTAGTCTGCAGTCAAAAAATAATTATGTTGATAAAATGCAGGGGGAAAAAAGGCAAAGAATTAGCTCTTAAATCTGCTACATGTAATTATATCCCTCTGTGTGTTTACAATTACATCCACTTTATAATATGTGTTTAACATCGTATGGTGGTAAGCACACTGTGGAAAGATTTGCCAGTACCATGAACATTAAAAAAAAAAAAGTTCGTACAAAAGAAGCTTTACAAAGATTGCAAAATCTACCAAAGTGAGTAATGCTTACAATGGAAACCTATTATTTGCTTATTTCAGATTTGTATCACATTCTTTGAAAATGCCCACTGTTGAGACAGGGCGCATATATTTTAAAGAGCAAGGTTATGCTTTAGTCCGTTTTTTTGTTTCTATATATCACATGGTTTTTGACCTCTTCTTTTGTGTTGAATTTTAATGTATAAGTAAACATAAATGCTAATAAAACTCCCAAACATTAAACTCAATTCCAAACAATGTAATTGTATATTCTTGTCAGCATTTAGATGGGTACACAATTACAATGGCTTTCAATCCCACGATTAGCACTGCATTCAGTTAGAAAATGGAGTGTACTAAAAGATAAGTGTCCCAGTATGCTCCATCTAAATAACAATACCCACACTTATTATCTAGATCTAAGACATACACTGCCATTCTCCACATTGGTGTTTATGTGCATTTGTGCTTGTTCAGACATTTGTTTACCCCCTACTAGGAGCATAAAGGGAGTACATGTTAACTTATCAAAGGGACCGTCTGGCCTAGAGACCATAAGATTATTAGAAACTGGTTCATTTTCCCCACAGTAAAATGCATTTTAAGGCATCATCATCATCTTTGGCTAATGCTATCTACTTTTCTCAGGCCCCCATCTTACAGCCATTGATTGTCAGAGTCACAAGGCCTGTGTGGAGTTTTCAACAAAGTGGAAGTGAAATTTCCTTGGAAAAACTGACAATATTGAATGTATTTATTTATTTATTTATTTATTTATTTATTTATTTATTTGCTTTTCTCAGATGTCAAAAGCTTATGGAAAATAAAATAGTGAAAAGCTCTGAGTGAGTCACTGTTTTACATAGCCTATAGTCTATACATATGGTGAAAAATATATATATGAAAAAATATACATAGACACACACATAAACACACCTACCACAACTACTGTGTACACATTTGTTATGGAATTTACTATGGAATGTGCAAAATGCATTTCTTCCTTTGTAACAAAATATCTCCATTTCTTACATTTAAGGAAGAAAGATCCTATAAAATTTACTTTTACTTTTTCTTAAAATATCCCTATTTCTGTACCATATTGTTTTGAAAATGATAATGACAATTCTGAGTAATAAAGTGGATTAAATCTCTACTGTAATCAATATTTCTATTCATTGAGGCCTTCAAACTAACTTTAAAATGCTTCTGCAAGGATTTCCAATGTTTCTACATTCCCAGTAAACACTTCATGAGTGAAATCATTTTTTAAACCTTATCAGAGTAGGTCAGACAAACACCACTGTTTCTTTTTTTCCAGCACTCCACAAAAATTCTTGAGTAGCATGTAAACAGGGCACAGCCAATACGGTATTTGCAATAGAGTACTGTCAGTCATTAAAAGCTAACAAACCTTTGCAAAGCAGGAATGCAGCAATAGAAATCCATTGTGCGCTAACAATAGGCCCCTGAACCTCCCGGCACCAAAAGCAGACCATTTTACTTTTAAGGCTATTGTCTACAAAGTCCATGACAAAGCTTTTCCCCTGCAGCTAGACAAAATATTCACTGTAGTATGCTCAGAAAGAAACAGAAGTCTTCTGTCTAAGTTGCAGAGTTAAAGTAACAGCCGCCAGATTTCTGAAACCTGCAGAACATTCCTAGCCTCTTTATTAACTTACATAAAGATATAAGGCTCCTATACAGAGCCACTTTTTTTTTCAAGTACCTTACTTTAAATGTACAGTACAGAAAAATGAATAACTTCTTTAAGACCAAGTAATTTGAAAGATGTAAAATCAGAACATATCTAACTCCGAGTTTTCATGCCTGTGGATGAATAAAGTCACTAATATTTGCAATCTGGATGAGGCATATACTTTAAATTCAGATTCAATAAACACTTATTGAGCAGCCTATGTGCCAGGAACTATGTTAGATGCTTTTACCTGTCTGCATTGTCTCATTTAATCATAGCTGTTACCTGAAGACTCAGATTGTGTTATTATATCCATCATACAGGTTAAAAAAAAAAAAAGCAAAAAGAAGAAAAGGACTTGTCTGAGGTTTCACGAAATGTAATAGGCAGAGTTGTTTTGAAGCAAGGTGTGTGTGTGTGTGTGTGTGTGTGTGTGTGTGTGCGCGCACGTGCGCCTTGCCTACAAATTCCTGACTCTCTTGTCAACAATGAAATGATAATGATAGCTACTATTTTGAGGGATAAGTGCTAAGCGGTGTACCAGGTCCTTTACATGTGGTATCTCAAACTTCTCATAATAATCTTCTGAATTAGATATTTCCCTAAGCTTTGGTTTCTTAAGTGGTAAACAATGCACTGATATCTAATTCAGAAGATTTTATGAGAAGTTGCCCATATGGAGCTAAGTTCAACTTACTGGATCTCAAAGTCAGGGGGACCACGAGCATATCATTTCACCCACTTCACCTCTCTATCTAAACTACTATGAAATAAAGAGCTTTAAGCAAGTCCACATCAAGTATTCCTCCAACTACTACTGTTCTAATTTGTCTCCATTGGTAGTTCATGAAGAAGCAGTAAGAAATGATTTCACAATGGATGGTAACAATGATGGTTAATGATGATTTCACAATGGTAATAAATGAATACAAAGGATGCACAGGTACCAATGGATGAATTTCCCTGAAGATGGTAAAGAATCCATAGGATACACATGACTAGAACTGTAAGATGCCAAATGGCAAAATCCCAATATTTATAATACACCTGTTCATTAAATGTGTGAATGTGATTAAAGTGAAATTTGACACAATTATGTAAGTGCTGCTTCAGTATTTACGGACTAAAAAAGATAGTAGCTATCTACTAAATATTCAATTTTCTAATGTAAGATGTTATTTTTATAAGTACATGTGGAATTGCATTTTATCCTATGAGGATGTATAGTATGTTTGAGGACATAGCTATTTCCCAAAGTTCAAATACTGGATTATCCATTATTTTCACATTAAGATATGCCATAGCTTTCCTTCTAGCACCTGTAACAATTCTCCTGAGAGTTGCTTTGCTCAAACATTAAAGTATCACAATTGCTGTCAAAAATAAAAACTAGTGTTTCCTATATTAAAATAAGTATAAGAGATAATAGTAGTTCTTATTATTTGCATAGCATTTCAGTTTATATAATGTTGTCAGATACCACAATGTTGTCAATGGTATGCATTATGATTATATCCATTTTGCAGATGAGAAAACTAAGGCTCAGAAAGATGCTTTTCCCAGCAGCACCTAGGCAGAAAGTAGAACAGATGGAATACAAAACCAGAGCCTCTTAATTCAGGGATCTGTTTCTTTGGGGGAAAGATAAATATGTGCATATCTTAAAATAAAACATAGAATAAATGGTAAGAAACAAGTGATAAGATAAATTACAGTGAAATGACAGATATCCTTACCAGTCAATCCATTAATATCAAGATGACTCTGATTGGATTACTTTTGTCTCTTTGTGCCATTAGGACCCTTTTGATGTTTGCTTGATTTTCCCTCCTCATCCTTGCCTCTTTTGCTCACATATGTTTCTTCACATCAATGCCTATGGCAATCCCTACCAGTGAATGGCCCCCCCAACTGTGCCAGCCATTTTTACAACAGCATCCTGCCTCTTTAGGGCCTGCTCATTCCCTATAACTCTCACTCCTTTTTCCCTTCAGTGCCAAACACTCTTAAGACTGACTCCCTCATCTGGAACAATGAGACCTAGAGACTCATGCCAACATATTGTAATTCTCCAACAAGCTGCCAGTGCCAAGAATTAAACCACATTCGCTCCAGTGCAGTAGCTTTACACACAAGCTCGGGTTTTTGCTTTGTGTTTATGTAGGTTTTTTTCCCTTAATCTCCCTTGAGCTGCAGTGGCAGAGCTCATTGAAAAATCGAACAAGCAAAAAATATGTATGTGTAATATTTGACTTTTTTAAGCAAAGTCCCAAGAGTTAGGTCTTACCAAATCTACCATTGTTTATACTTTAATTTTGTAGCTTAAACTAAGCTGTGTTATTTCTGACTTGTGATAGGATGCACATTTAGGGATGGGAGTTGTCTTTGGAAGGAACGATGATATGGCTAACCTTCAAAATATACCAATACATCCTTCAAAGTCAAGAAGTAAGAGCATATGTAGATTATTCATGCCATAGAATCAGAATGTTAAACCTGGAAGGATTTTTATATATCATCTAGATAAGCATTTCATAAAAGTGATTTACTAAAACATATTGGACATAAAGGGAACCCAAATTGTTTGGTTACTTAAAACTAAAACAAACAAAATAAGCATTTCATTGTCATGTAAATCTAATTAAAATTACACAAATTTACATTTCTTTTCTACAGCATTTAGATCTTTTTATGTGTTAACAAGACTGTCAATCCTTAAATGAGTTATGGATTCTACAGCATTATTTAA